ATATATATTATACATTTGAGATCATTCCACGTATATGGTTATGTGCAATTTCATACAATATTATAACAAAAACATTTCTCCAAGTTTTTAAGAGCAATTTTCTAAACAAATTTTTCATGGCTACTCATTATGTGGGTATGGTATTACCTACTTAACTATATCTCTCCGAGCCATTAGGTTCCTTTAAATTTTTTGTAATATCAAAAATAATGCTGTAGTTAGCAATTTTATGCATAGATATTTTACTTTTTATTATATTTTAAAATGACTTCTAGAAGTCAAATTGCTATGATAAAGAGTATAAAATATCCTTAAAACTTACGTATTTTTTTTTTACAGTCATACAAAGAGTACAAGATCTAAAGAACTAGAGAAAGCAAGAATATCTACAGTAGCTGAATCTGAAGAGAAAGATGAATCCAACTCATTTGGCATCTCGCAAACTCCTAGTGTTTCCAAGTTATCTACTAATCTTAAATTTTCCAAACTACACCTGCAGGAGGCTCTATTTGAAGAATACAGACTCACTGCTGCTGAAATACTGTATGAACTTGGGGAGACATTGCAGAAATATGCTGAGTATAACATAACCTTCCCTGTGGGAATCTTGTGAATTACAGTTGGCACGATCTTACTTCAGGCACTTATACCTGTACAACCAAAAAATTCAACACTGAAGAAACACAATGTCTTGCAAGATGATCCCTGTACCATGACCATAGTTGACCTAAAGGGATACAAAATCAACAGCTGTTCAAGAGAAAAATGTCATAAGGAAAATCACCTGGTTAAAGGAAAAGACCACCATGTTGCAAGTAAATCTATGAAAAAAACATGTAAGTAGACGTTACTAGTTAGATTTACAAAAAATCATCCAGTTTTTAAAAATAAAAACAGCAAGTATGATATTGAAAAAATACTATGTTAGTGATATTTGGTTTGTGTTAATCATTTTAATAAGTTATTGGTGAATATCAGGAGAAAGATACAAAAATGTATAGTGTGTTCAAAGTATCTATTATGCTTCATATTTGTGTGATATGAAGTCTCTCTGCCTTACAGGATCTTACAAATTCTCTTTCAGCAGCATGGTCCAGCAGAAACATGATGCTAGCTACATACATAATTTTTTAAATTTTACTTTTTATTTTAAGATAATTGTAGACCCATATGCAGTTATAGGAAATAAAACAAAGAGATCCCATGTACCCTTTACCCATTTTCTCCATATGACAACATATTGGAAAACTATAGTACAACATCACAACCAGGATATAGACACTGATACAGTCAAGCTTCAAAACATTCCCATAATAGCAAGGATCACGTTGTCCTTCTAGAGTCACACCCACTTCCCTCCTGGCCCCACACTCTCTTTAACGCTGGCAACCACCAATGTGCTCTCCATTTCTATATTTCTGTCATTTCAAGAATGTTCTATAAATGGAATCATAACAATGTGTAACGTTTGGTAATTGCCTTTTTTCATTCAGCTTAATTCTCTGGAGATTCATCCAGGTTGTATGTATCAGTAGTTTGTCCCTTTTTATTGCTCAATAGTATGTATTCCATAGTATAGATGTTCTACAGTTTGTTTAACTACTCACTCCTTGAGTGGGTAAGGTTTTTTCCCCATTTCTTGAATATTATGAAAGCTGCTAAAACATTTATGTACAACTTTTTGTGTAAATATAAGTTTTGATTTCTCTTTGGTAAGTGCCCAGAAGTATAATTGCTGGGCTATGTGGTATTTGCACATTTATTTTTATGTCAAACTGCCAAATTGTTTTCCAGAGAGGCTGTGCCATTTTACCTTCCCACCAGCAATGTGTGAGTGGTTCCATTTCTCCACATCCTCACCAGTATTTGGATATTGTCATTGTGTTTTACTTTATCCATTCTTAGAGATGTGTAGTGGTATCTCATTGTAGTTTTAATTTGCATTTCTCTAATGGCTAATGATGTTGAATATAATCTATAAAACGATGTTGAAGACAATTCCAGCTATACAATTTTTACTTTTTAAGAGTAAGTGATTGCTGTTAATAAAGGGGTTGAGAATCCCTGTAGCACTGGTTCCCAAAATATTGTGCCTAAACCAGAACTAGAACATCACTGGGAACTTTTTGGAACCACCAATTTTCAGGCCTTATCCTAGACTTATTTGATTTCCTCATCTGTTATATGAGGAGGAGAAGAAGAGAGATTAATGGTAGAACTTTGTTGAGAGAATTAAATAATACAATGCTTGTAATATGCTTAGCATAGTGCCTGGCATATAGTAAGTGCTCAATAAATATGTCATAGTTATTGTGCAAATTCTTACCTATAGCCTTATTTCTTTTACTGTTTTATCATTGTAATTTTATTTTACTTTTACTAATTTTTTAAATGGAGGTACTGGGGATTGAACACAGGACCTCATGCATACTAAGCATGCACTCTACCACTGAGCTATACCCACTCCTCCTTTTCATTTCTTTTAGTTACAGCCTATTTGTTATGGACTTACAGACTTATGGACCTCCTAATTCACATATAAAGTTTAAGGAGTTCCCGTGAGTTTTGCTTTCTTTTTGAAATATCCTTAATTTTTTTTGTTTTTAGGCAGCTTTTAAAACATACATTTTTCTCTATGGGATGAATTTATTTCACTTCGTAGATTAACAAAATTTCTTACCTTAGATTTACATTTTAGCTCAAAACTTACTAATAATACGGAGAGGCCTTGTGTCCTTATAGTCTTTTTTTTTTCTTTACCAGCAATATAGGCTGCTGATTGTTGTTCAGTAGCTAAAAGAAGAAATGAATAAAACATGAATCTTTTTTCAGTAGTTCTCATGTGAAAAGGCAGTTCTTAGAACAAAAGCATAAGCACAGTCCTTTAGTAAGTCAAGAAATTATGCAGAGGAACTTTCAATTTAAAAAGCTGATTCCAGAGCAAATGAAAATATTTTATGGGTCATTGTGGGTACTTATCAAAAATTTTGCTAATGCTCTGGTAAGAATATTAAAATATTAATTGGATTTTCTGTTGATGATGATCTGACAAAATGCTCTCTTTTTCTTCTTTTCCTCTCCCCACTCGTATTCCTTCTTCTTCATTTTTCCTAGCTCTTATTAACCAAAACCAGTGTTCCCAGATTTCCCAGGATAGCAGTTCACCTATTGTCACCCACTTCTCACTGACATCCATGATCTGCTTAGAAAATGGTAAGATCCCCTTACCCACCCAATGAGCAAACAGAGTGAGAATCACTTACATCCCCTGAATTTGGAACATTTCTCCCAGCCATCCTCTTATAACCACAGTCAGAGCAGGACATTTAAGTTCATGGATTCCAAGTCAAACTTTTCAAAGGCTTCTCCCTCTAATCCAGCCCTCCCTGGATTCCCTACTCTTATACCCTAGGAACTTTTCCTTCATGGTTCTGAAAAATCAACTTGCATGACAACGATAAGCCTATCCCTAGAAGAGCACCCAGGGCTTTTTCATCACAAAAACAAACCACCGTGGACTGGAAACCAAAGCCTCTGTGTTAGGGCAAAAATTGGTTCTTAATTGTTTAAATGTTATAAAGGAGACCTCCCAGAGAAGATTATAGTTGTACAAAGCTAGAAAGAATACTGTCTATCCCAAATAAGGTTATAAAATGGGGAAGATATAGGTTATTAGGAAAAAGGAACATTGTCATCCCTTGGAACACAGACGTAGTACTGTTAGTTACCTGCTGCGTGGCTCAGGGAATGAGTAGGAGTTGGGACTGACTGCCATGGGTCTCATAGATTTTCTTTTCATGACCTTTCATCATAGACCTAACAACCTTGAAACTGTTGAAAGGTCCTGCTTTTAGAAAATGTGCTTAGAGATCAAGTGTCCCTTTCATACTTCCCCATTCCTTACATATACTTCAGAGCTTGATATAATGAGGCCTCAAAATTTAGGTTTGTGTCTCACTGGAGTGGGACAGATATTGAAGAAACAGATGCATATGCTAAGAGCAAGCCCACTAGGTATGGTAAAACAGCAAATGAAAAATGAAGTAAATCATAAGATATCCATAGCATTCACATGAAAATGTTCAGGAATCCAAATTCTTTGTAGGAGGTGGAAACAAATTATTATCTAACCCTAAGGAAACTGGGATGAAACTTGTTCAGTCCTTCCAGTTTAAGGTTATTTTGGTTCTCATGATCCAGTGGGAATTAATCTGAATGTGATTATGCTAGGCAGTACATGACAAGAACCTAACTCACTAGCTTAAGCAACAAGAAAATTATTTGCTGTGGACTGGGTGTAGCTCACAATATTAAAGGAAGAAGTGCAGAAATAAGATCCATGGCAGGATTTGGGACTCTGCACTGCAGGGATTCTTCTCTGTTCATCTCTATTTGATTGAATCCTACAATTGGGCTCATTTCATGGTGAAGAAAATGGTTGCCACCAGCCTTAGATTCACATGCTTCCTGCTTAGGAAGAAAGTGCTTCTTATCCTCCAATGTCTACATTGTCCTAAGACATTGGGATTGACTCTGATTAGCTCTACTTGAGTAAAGCACCCATGGTATGGCCCAGTGATGGTTGCCTGGGAATTAGAGTAATATTATTGGTCAAACCTGGGTCATTGGCTCATGTGTGGTAAGGAAATATAATTATCAGCCCTATTTGAGCCCCTTGGGATAGGGGTGGAATGATGCCTCAAAGGAAAGGAAGTTAAGTAGTTCCACAGCTTGGGAAGAGAAGGGAAAGCCTGTCTTTAACCTAGGCGAGGGTGGGATTGGAGAGGAAAAAAAATGGAGAGGAGCCACAATGCCCATATTCACAGTTTCACCTGGAGTATGGCTAAAATGAAGAGCTCACGGCTAGGGCAAAAGACCTGGAGATAGTAAGCGGTATACTCATTCTCATTACAACTAATGTTTTAAAACACCTATGTGTAAGGAAAAAATTCTGGAAGGAGCTACACCAAAATGCTAACAGTGCTTGTGTGGTAAGATCCCCATATCCTTCCCCACCCCCATCACTCTTTATTTTCCAGATTTTCTTCTGTATGTAATTTACTGGTTTATTGAATGGATTAGACTTGGTGGGGTAGAATAAAGAAACAACAGGTTTTCCTTTTCCCTTAAATTCCTTGAATTTGTCTGTGGATCTTTCCACATATTCATTACAAGGGTAGAATTTTTACAAGGGAAGAATGATAGAGCTAAGAGGTCTTTGAGATCATCTCATTCAGTTCTTCCATTTTGCTGATGAGAAAACTGAAACCCAGGGATATTGAGTACCCAGACTAGTCAGTAGGAGAGTCAGGAACAGAACCCAAGTCTATTGACTACCTATAAAATGTTCTCTCTGATAGAGGGGATTCTAGCCTGAAACTGGAGGATGTTGAAAATCTGATGTGTAGGTCTACAAGATATGAAGGGATTCTTGAAAGGCTTCTAATATTTCAGATGTCATCATGGTGGTTTAATTCCTCCAGGTTAAAGCTTTGGTCCCCTTTCAGTGCAAATCCTCCTTTGGACGAGGTAATTCTCTTCTTTGGGGAGGGGGGTGGCTTATTGAGGTATAGTTGATTTATAGTGTTGTGTTAATTTCTAGTGTACAGCATAGTGATTCATTTATACACATACACATATATTTCTTTTCATATTCTTTTTCATTATATATAGGCCATTACAAGGTATTAAATATAGTTCCCTGTGCTATACAGTAGGACCTTGTTGTTTATCTGTTTTATATATAGTAGTTAGTACCTTCAAATCCCAAGCTCCCAGTTTATCCCTCCCCACCCTCCACTTTCCCCCCTGGTAACCATAAGTTTGTTTTCTATGTCTGTGAGTCTGTCTCTGTTTTAAAAATAAGTTCATTTGTGTCCCTTTTTTTTAAGATTCCACATATAAGTAATACCATATTGTATTTTTCTTTCTCTTTCTGGCTTACTTCATTTAGTATGACAATCTCCAGGTCCATCCACATTGCTGCAGATGGCATTCTTTTATTCTTTATATGGCTGAGTAGTATTCCATTATATGTATCTGGTCATCTGTTGATGGACATTTAGGTTGCTTTCATGTTTTGGCTATTGTAAATAGTGCTGCTATGAACATTGGGGTGCCTCTATCTTTTCAAATTAGACTTTCTTCCAGCTGTATGCCCAGGAGTGGGATTGCTGGATCATAGGGTAAGTCTGTTTTCAATTTTTTAAGGAACCTCCATATTGTTTTCCATAATGGCTGCCCCAAACTACATTTCCACTGACAGTGTAGGAAGGTTCCCTTTTCTCCACACCCAGGAGAGATTATTCTTAAGCTGATAATTATTCATACTTTAATATAGATGGGTTTTTTTTCAAGTAGGCTTTGGTAGACTGATGGCTGATTTTGATTTACCCAGTAATTACTGACTCAGTATAAATTTTGAAATATCCCTTTTTTGTTAATATGTGTGTCTTTTTTTCCCCCCAAGTTGGATCTTACAACATCCTTACTCAAAACTGAAAATTCTGAAATGGAAGACAGCCCTCAATACTGCTGTGAAGAAACTACAAGTGGCCATAATGCAAATGTAGGGAGCTCTCTGCAGTGTTTAGAATCATACACTTTTATGAGGCGTCTGATACAGTAGATAGGCAAGATAACAGAGCCTATAGGACTCTGGACAAGTCACCCCATCACTTTGCCTGTTGTATATGTAATATGAAAAAATATGTACACACAAGCACACACATACCCTTCTCTTCCTGGTAACTCATTGAAAAGTCACTCTCTGACACATGACTTACCAGTCAATCAACCTTGCCAGAGGACAAGTATAGGATCATGTATGGAAACAGTGGGGAGGAGGAAGGGAAGAAAAGAAATCAGGGAAAGAAAAGCCAGGTATAGGTAAAGCCCTGTTCTAAAGAAACATAAAACTAGTCCCTGTGTTCAAGTAACTAATGGGAAACTAAACACCTCAGCAAGTTAACAATCAATAGAAGACAAATCAAACAAGTAGGAGGTAGTAATAATGATAGCAAGCATTGACTGAGTATCTACTCTGTGCTAGATGGTGGACCAGGCACTTTGCATGTGTTATGTCTACTCTTTACAGCAACTCCATGGGAGAGGTCTGATTATCATCTCCATTTATAGATGTGGAAACTAATGTACCATGAAGTGTGACAGTTCCCTCTGAGTCATACAGCTGGAAAAAGGCAGAGCCAGGGTGAGACCCAGCTCTCTCAGACTCCAAAGTCTACCCACTCTCCACCAGGTTCCCACTCCAGTTCCTCACCTGGCCTCTTCTGTAAAAATAGCCACTTATTGTTTTGGGGAATGTATTTTAAATGTAATACATGCTTAGTATTTAAAGTATTTAACATTTCATACACACAAAGAAAATAAATTGCAAAATGAAAAATGTTTATATCAGAAGCAAAGAAGTTTTGACTTACACCATTGATAAACCCAAATTGTTAAGAGAGATCTTATAATATAATGTCAAAGTCTTTATTATTTTTTCTGAAATATTGGCACTTTCCTGCTCTGGATAAAAATTGAGCAGGTCATGCAGCGACTGGGAAAGAAGGACCTGCAGCCAAATGACTTAGTTTCTGTTAATGATGTCTCTCCCTCTAAACCCCTTTAAGGGCTGAGAGAGGCAGAGCAAGCCCCAGAGGCCAGGCCTTGGTGGTCAATTAGATGTTAAATCTTGTTCTGAAAATTCCTAATAATTTAATTGATAAAGCATAATTTCTAATGAATTCTTTTAATTGAAATCAGTATTAAAATTTTAGTGTAATTTAAATGAGTAAATTTAGTATTTAAATTTATATTACATTAAAACACCAATACATAATACTTGAATTAACTTTTATTATTATACAATTATCAGTGTTTTGTTTTAAGATTTTTTTTCCCATTTTTCTTATTACTGGAAAGTTCTTTCCTCATTTTCAGATTAGATAGACCAAACCTATTTTTTGTTTCTTTTTTCTAGTTTAGCTGGAAATTTTGTTGTGTGTGGTATGAAGTTATGAGAGTCTGGCTTTATTCCTCTCATGCCAATAGCTAGTATTTATTGAGTACTAATAATAATAGCTAGGGTTTACTGGGTGATCATTTTGTGTAAGGCACTACATGAAGCAATTTACATGCCTCCATGAGTAAGTCACTGTTGTTATGCCAAGGTCAGAGAATTAGTAAGTGAGTAAGCTTCTGTATAAGCT